CCGCTCTTGGCTCTTCTCCCTTGATGGTCCTAGAGACCTCTGCTCCTAGACTGGAGAGTTAATCACTCCCTTCCTTGCTACAAAACATCTACCTTTACATTTCCAACCCTCACAATCAGTCCTGATAACAATCATTCACTATTGTATCACAAGTGACCCTTCTGCATTTCATTTCATCAGCTCTGCCTAGACAGATGGATACTACTCGCTGGAGATTCTGCCTTCCTCCATGCCCCATAGGTCTAGGTTCCCTCTTGAAAGCTTGTAAGCCAGTCACTTCTTGTCTTTGTTGTCCTCCCCCCCCCACCCCCCCCTCAATTTGGGTATCCAATGTCCAAGTTGCCCATCTCTGTCTACTCTGTGTGTGGAGGGGGTGGGAATGTTTCTTGCTGTAAGGATTTGTTCCCTCTTTTGGGTTACTGCATCCATAGGTGTAGGTCAAGTTCATCCATTCATCAGGGCCAGGTCACGTGGGTCAGGTATCATTGACTTTTGATCATATGCTACCTCTTGAAATGGTTGAACATCGACCATTTCTTTGTGGTACATTGACTCTGTGCATTCCTTTCATCATCTTTTGATGATTTTAACATCATTCAATATTTTGCCCAGAGAATCCTTCATTTTTCAAATAGAGGCTTGAGTTTTTTCAGCTTGAGAAATGCTGAGCATGCTCTTCCGTTGTGGTTTTGAAGTCCAGGTCTTTGCCCATGTCACTATAATATTTGACGTTTTCTTCTGGAGCTGCCTTTGTCGTTTCCTTTTTTTTCCCTTTTCCATTTCTTATTGAGCTCTTTTACCTCCTCATTTCCTCCATGTGCTTTACTATCTCTATGCTGGAGATCAAGCTTCAGAGTCTCTTCTGATGTTCTTGTCTTCTTAATGACCTTTTGCTTTCTTTCTGTATGATATTCTTGATGTCATTCCATAACTCTTCTGATCTTCAATCATTAGTGTCTAATTCATCAAATCTGTTCTTGAGATGATCTCTAAATTCAGGTGAGAAGTGTTCAAGGTCATATTTTGCCTCTCTTGGACTTGTTTGAATTTTCTTCAGCTTCAACCTGGAGTTGCATTGAGCAATTGATGGTCAGTTCCACTATCTGTTCCTGGCCATGTTTTGGCTGATGATATGGAGCTTTTT